GTGTTACCAATATTTCTGACAGAAAAAAACAGAAATGCTACTGAAACAGGCAACAAAACTGAATCTCTATACTGAACATTCTGAACATTTTTTATTGGTCTAAATGTTCTTTGAACGAGCTGAACGTGCACAACGCTAACCTGAGCCTCCAGCTGCTGCTCCGTCAGTGACATCATCTCCTCGTAGGTCATGGTGGAGAAGAGGCCGGCGTACTTGTGGAGGCGAAGACTCTTCAGCCACGCCGGCACATCTGCGGGCAAGCACACACAGGTTCTTACACATGCTCGGAGATAAGAGTACAGTCATGGGAAAGAGTTCAGACAGCTTCACTCTGCTGGAGGGCTGATATCAATGCTGCATTAAAGGAATACTGCACTGTTTTTCAGCCTAGTCTCTATGTGCTGCATCTGTATCATACAGTCACGTACCACTGATTATAATTTCAAAGCGTTTAGCTGTATTTAGAAAAGATCTGAAAACCAAATGTTATTTTGGTCCAGTTTTAGTTTAGCTCCACTCTTCCCATCCATGCTCCACTCATGTTCTTTCATAGCAACTATTATGAAGTCAGGCAAACTTTATAGGCAAAATCCCATTTAACTCATATTACGAAAAAATTTAATTCCAAGTAATTTTGGGCCGTTTCTTTTGGTCCATTCATCATGAAATTTACATACAATGTAAAGTTACCAGCTATTGTCAAATGATGTATTATGAAAATTGTGAAAAAAGTGGAGATACAAGGTTTTGTTCTGACAGCAGCGATTCCAAAAAAGTTGAGACGCTGGGTAAAATGTAAATAAATGTAAATAAAAACAGAACGCAATGATTTGCAAATTTCATAGAGCCAAATTTTATTCACAATAGAACATTGAACACATATCAGATGTTGAAAGTCAGACATTTTACCATTTCACGAAAAACATTAACTCATTTAGAACTTGATGGCAGCAACGCATCTCAAAAAAGTTGGGACAGGGCTGCGTCTACCACTGTGTACCATCCCCTCTTCTTTTAACACCAGTCTGTAAACGTCTGAGAAGTGAGGAGACCAGTTGCTGGAGTTTGGGAGAGGAATGTTGTCTCATTCTTGTCTGATGTAGGATTCTAGCTGCTCAACAGTTCTGGGTCTTGTTTGCCGGATTTTTCGTTTTGTGATACGTCAAATGTTTTCTATTGGTGAAAGGTCTGGACTGCAGACAGGCCAGTTCAGCACCTGGACTCTTCTTCTGCAAAGCCATGCTGTTGTGATGGATGCAGTATGTGGTTTAGCATTGTCTTGCTGAAATATTCAAGGCCTTCCCTGAAAGAGTCTGGATGGGAGCATATGTTCTAAAACCTCTATACACTGTTCAGCATTGATAGAGCCTTTCCAGATGTGTAAGCTGCCCACACCATAGGCACTAATGCAACCCCAGACCATCAGAGATGCTGGCTTTTGAACTGTGTGCTGATAACAAGCTGGACGTTCCCTCTCCTCTTGACTCCACAGGACACGGCGTCCGTGGTTTCCAAAAATACGTTGAGGAACATTTTTCTGAAATTGTTCCACAGATGCAGTTTTTCACAGGTTGGTGAACCTCTGCCCATCGTTGCTTCTGAGAGACACTCTAAAATGCTCTTTTTATACTCAGTCATGTGAGTTAGCTGCAAATTGCTCCTCCAGCTGTTTTTTTATTAGTACCACTTAGGAAGTTACATTCCAATAAATCTAGTGTAAAATAAACTTGAACTTGTTGTTTATTGGCAATTTTACGTGCTATATCTGCACGCTTCACCATCTGGTTTGTGACGCGGCGCTTCTCGTCTGGTGTGCAGTAGCCTTCAGCCGGCTGCAGTAGTCTTTCTACATTTCCTTCTTTGGACTGAACAGACCAGAAATCCAGACCAAAACGTAACACGCTGGCTCTACACTGCCCTGTAGTCGAGTCCAGTCTTCCCTTGGTTTTTAAATATTAGAACAACATAAATGTTTACAAAACTAATACAGTTATAATAATATTTCATACTGAACTTTCATGACTATTCAAAAACGTATAAGTTTCGAGCACCAAACCTAAACCTACAGTCATCCAACCTAGGGTGCATTTATTGGGCAGAGCATGGATATGTCAGTGTTACCTACTAACACCTGGCATTTCTGATACATCTGAGGACAAAAATCATAATGAACTGATCAGGTATGTTACAGCAGTACTGTGAAGACCCTCTGGGACCCCTGGAGAATCTCCTCACCCCTCATTCCGCTTCCCTCCTCGTGGAATGTGCTGCGAAGTGCGGCCCCCAGCCCGGATCCGTCCTCCATGTGCTCGCTGCCGCCGCTGCCCGATGAAGCGATGCTGCTCTGGGGCGAGAGGGGAGCATGATCTGGTGCTGCCCGGCCCCGCAGGTCCTCCTGGGACAGCCAGCCGTGACCCAGTGGGGGGTTAGAGGGGCCGCTCATAGGTGGGAGTCAGAGACACTGAGCGCTTCAGGGGACTGTGCTGACCCCCAGGCAAGACTGTGGGACACACAAATCATGAAACAATGTAGGGTTATACATATGTCCTATATACTATATACTATATATATATATTTTATACTATATATATATATATATATATATATATATATATATATATATATATATATATATATACACACAGCGATCAGGCATAACATTATGACCACCTCCTTGTTTCTACACTCATTGTCCATTTTATCAGCTCCACTTACTATATAGGTGCACTTTGTAGTTCTACAGTTACAGACTGTAGTCCATCTGTTTCTCTGATACTTTGTTAGCCCCCTTTTACCCTGTTCTTCAGTGGTCAGGACCCCCACGGACCCCCACAGAGCAGGTACTATTTGGGTGGTGGATCATTCTCAGCACTGCAGTAACTCTGATGTGGTGGTGGTGTGTTAGTGTGTGTTGCGCTGGTCTGAGTGGATCAGACACAGCAGTGCTGCTGGAGTTTTTAAACACTATGTCCACTCACTGTCCACTCTATTAGACACTCCTACCTTTTCAGTATACCTTGTAGATGTAAAGTCAGAGACGATAGCTCATCTGCTGCTGCACAGTTTGTGTTGGTCATCCTCTAGTCCTTCATCAGTGGTTACAGGACGCTGTTGGCTGGATATTTTTGGTTGGTGGACTATTCTCAGTCCAGCAGTGACACTGAGTGACACTGACAGTCAGACCAGCACAACACACACTAACACACCTCCACCACGTCAGTGTTACTGCAGTGCTGAGAATGATCCACCACCCAAATAGTACCTGCTCTGTGAGGGTCCATGGGGGTCCTGACCACTGAAGAACAGGGTAAAAGGGGGCTAACAAAGTATGCAGAGAAACAGATGGACTACAGTCTGTAATATAGTATATATATATATATATATATATATAGTAAGTGGAGCTGATAAAATGGACGATGAGTTTAGAAACAAGTCATAATGTTATGCCTGATTGCTGTGTACATATATATATATATATATATAATATAATATATATATATATATATATATATATTATATATATATATATATATATATAAAACCACCTATATGTAATAATAATATGCATATGTATTATATGTATATGTAATTGGTCCCATATATATTTACCCATATATATATACATTTTTAAGTATCTACCATATGTAATATGACCCATATGTTTTATACACGGGTTAGTATCTCTATGTAATAACAAGTGCCATATGCATTAAATATACCAATGTCGCCAGACAAAACCTTGTATCTCCATTTTTGTCATTTTTCATTTTTTGACAGTTAAAAAAGGCCAGTTGCCCTTTGTGGTGAGTAAAAATATCATGATCAACGAACCGAAAGAAATTACCCAAAATTACTTGGAAAATATTATTTATTCCTTTACTTTCTTTAAAAGTTAAGAACATTTTCCTTCTCCTGTAAAGTTTCCTTTTTGGAGATAGAAGGTTTTGTTCCGATAGCAGTGATATTTAAGCACCTATATGTAATAACATGACCCATATGTATTACAAATGTAAGTATCTGTAGGCAATAAAGTCCCATTTGCATAATATGTGTCTAAGTACTTATGTGTAAAAACAATATACGTCCTATATATGTCAAATATATGAGTATCAATATGTAATATGTCCCACATGCATTCTATATATATGGAACAACTTACATGTAATATTAATATCACATTCCAAATGCCTTGTAAATATGGAAGCACCTACATTAAACCAGTTTGCTTGCTAATTAATGAATCCAGCTTTGCAGTACACTTTCTCAGGCCACACCACAAACGTAGCATCCTGATGCAGTTCTGACCACCGTTTAGTTTCTTTCCACTCCTCTCAGAAACTCCTCTGTGTGGCTGGAGGATGACGCTGCGTTTGGAGCTTTACCTTCCGTGTCAACATTAACTCCACATTAAGCTACACAGGTTCTGTTTGTTTCATCAGAGGAGGAAAAACTGGCAGACTGTAACAAAGTCTTTTCCATTTCACCTGCGCTACAGCCGGACCTTTCTTCAAGACTTTCCACTCACGGCTCACAGGAGCTGGTAGAGAGCAGGAATCGACCGGTATGAAAATTCTATCCCTGCTTCCAATGAGTTAAAAATTTAGATTTAGCCGTTGTAAAATCCACAATATACGCACACAGATGACCGCATCAGCAACTGAATGTGTATCACTGCACCACGGCACGAAAAACCCTTGTTAATGGAATAATCTTTGACTCTAATGCTGCTCACATGGAGCACCGAGTGTACTGATGAAGTAAGAACCCGTTTTCTGTTTAAACTGAGGGGCTGACAGCTTATGTTCTTAACTAGAGCTAGGCTGGTCAGCTAACTAACAGGCTAAAAGAGCCAAAAGCCTAAACAACTCCATCATTAATATCACAGACTCACAGTATGATTAACTGTAAAACAGCAGTGTAAAACTTGAATGGATCAAATGTTTGTGTTTCAGTCAGTAGCTTCAAACCCAGGCTGAATCCCAAACGGCTCCGTACTCCCTAAACAGTGTTCTAGCTATGAAGGTTTTGAAATTCTAGCCTCTACAGTCAAATAATGCATCATTTATCGAGTGTGGATGTGTCTGAGTCCCAAATGACTTTCTTAGCTGTATTTTGCATTGTTGGGCTTCAGGATCCAGTATTTAAAGTGCACTATGTAGGGAGCAGGTTTCAATTTGAGATTCAGCCCCAGCATGAGAAGAGGGGCGCCGCTGGATTGGTGCTAAATAAGACTCCGTGGTAATCTGGTGACCAAAAAGTACTATTAAAGTAAAAGGTTTAGCATTAAACAGTGCTGTGTTATCAGATGTTCACTGTCACATGAAAAAAAGTTTAAAAAATGATTCAAAAATGTTTGCGATAAACAGTGATGGGCGACCGAACGTTGTCCTCATTCAGTGGTCCACGGTGGCTTGGCAATGATCCCGTACTCTAAAGGAACTACATTTCTTGTTTATGTCAATTATTATGAATAATAGCTTAAACTGCTTTCTGAAAAATTGCGTATTTTATCATAGTTTATGTTGGCCGCCAGTTTATAAAAGCAATAAGCCACTTGAGGCTGTGTGTTACTGTGATTTTATCACAGAGAAGGGAGTTTTAGGGACTCCGCTATGTGTCGTGCATAAGAACACCCTTCCCATGATAAAATCTCAGTAACACAAAGCCTCTCATGGCTTATTGCTTTATTAAACTCTAATAACCAGCAAGAACTCACAGAGTCGTAAATAACAAATATTGAGGTACTGGTGAGCAAAGCTTATTAGAATTCTCAGCAGTTTTGTTTTTCTGTTAGTTAGTTCTTAATTTTCAATTTCTTTTTTGTGTTACAAATGTTATAACATGTTATCCTCAAGCTAAACATTAGGTTTGGATACATTTTTACCAGTTTTTGTTATTTTAACCATTTTAATTATGGTGTTTTTTGTACTGGCGGTGACTGTTAGCTTAGCGGTCTATTACAGCACATACCTAAAATGCAGCCAGTAAAAAATGATCAGTGTAAACTCTCTATATAAACACGCCACCGTAGAAACATGTATAAAACATTAGTAGGTTTAGTGGGTCATGATGATTTGTCGGTGCCCCAGCTTGTATAATTGTCTTGGAAATGCACTGACCAATAGAATGGGACACTCTGGAGCAGCCACACGTGAACCTGAGGTCATCACGACCAATGCCAAGCGTAGGCTGGAGGGGTATAAAAGCCCCCAGCACTGAGAATCAGTGGAACCGTGTTTTCTGGAGTGATGGAGCTCCATCCAATACCTTTGGGATGAGTTGGAGTGATCCAGAACTGACCATCCAACATCAGTACCTGAGCTCACTAATGGTCAATCAAATCCTCACAGCGATGTTCCAACATCTAGTGTAAAGCCTTCCCTGAAGAGTAGAGGCTGTTACTGCAGCACAAACTCACTATTAATACCCTTCATTTCAGGAGAAACTTGGACGTATAGTGTCTCAGCTGGGCTTAGCACTGAGTGAGAGTTTGTAGGGCAGGTGGGGGGGTGGAGGAGGAGAGGGGGGTTTAGGAGAGGATGGAGAACACAACGCTTTACTCACCGGTGTAGCGCCGGCCTGCTGCTCCTATATGCGGAGGTTTAACTGTTTGGACTATGTATAGGCCTTCACGGCCGGTTTAAAATAGGAGCCCAGCTACCATTACAAGTTCCAGTCCCTAAATATTAGCCATTTCCCCTAAATACAGACACCACAAAGGATACCTTACAAGGGAAGAGCTGGAATGGCATGTGGCGCTCGGTTAGGGAGGTACCGTGGGGGGGTGGAAGAGTCTGTTTTTGTGTCGGCGACAAGGAGGCCACGAGATGCCACGCTAAAAATTGAAATGATGTTTTTCACTGTTAATATATCTCAGGACTGCGCTCTTTTTATCCTTACCTATAATTCATGTAAACATCTTTAACCGTAACTAGATTTATGAAGCAAGCCAATAAAAAAAATACATAAAACCTGTTCAGTTCACAGAATGAGCTGGTCAAGAGCTACAATTTAAATTGTTTTCACCAAATAATTTTCTAACTATATAACTATATGCTATAAAAACAGAAACAAGAACAATATTTTAAAGAGTCATTTTTTAAGAAAGGCCAAAATACGTTTATTATCGTTAACAGAAACTATTATTTAAATGGAAACTTGCATGAAAAAAAGTTGAAACGTATTGTAAAGGAATCCGATTTGAAATTAAATAAAAACTGAACTAAAAAATATAAACAAATCTAAAACTATTAACTCACCCTTAAAACTAAAGTGAAACTGAAACTGAAAACCAAACTAAACAAAACTGGCACCACTTTAAAATAAGACTTCTCTAAGGCTGTGTCCACATCATCAAGTTGAAGTGGCACAAATCAGATTTTTTGCCCTAATGTGACTCAGATCTGATGTTTTTAGAGCTGTGTGGACACAAATCTGATCTTTTCAAATTCAACCTGTGCCACGTTCATATGTGGTCCTAGATCAGATACGTATCCGATT